AACGCAATATCGACAGTTCCTCAACTTACTTTCCGCGATTCATACCATTTGACTCCTAAAACTTTCGGTTCTCCGCTTTAAATTGGTACACATAAATCTTACAGTATTTTCAATTTCGCTCCGCACTTCGAAGTGCACACTCGTACAAACTAGAAGAAATAATTTTTAATTAACAGAAATAGTAGAAACACACAACAGCAGTTTTTGTAAAAAATAAAACAAAAATTACAAAAAGGTTTATAATTTTACGAAAATATACTAAAATTTAGTAATTTGTGAAATAGTTGATATAAATACATTAAAATAATTAAATATAATATAAAGTGATGTGAATATTTATAAACATATTAACCATTATTTCTTTAATTTTATCATTTATTTATTATTTATTTTATTTGCACAAACAGATCCGGTATACTAAATGTAAATCTTTAGGTTATTTGATTCTGCGTTTGTACAGGTTGTATTAATTACCTTCACGGTAGTACTAAAAGGTAAATTAATTAGTAACGTTTAGTATAATAATGTTGAACATTTTAATGCAACCCTACAACATCAAACCATATTTTCAAATACAATCAATCTACATATACATCGGAATAGTCTAGATTTGCAAAGGTTTCAATCGTGCTCCAATAAATCTACTAATCGATCTGCAATGGTAGAAGTGACCATGCAATATCTAAGTCTTCTTTGCCCTCACAATTAGCCACTAAAGTGGGTTTTTCCAATCGTTACACGATGAAGCGCTAATAATTTCTTTGAAATAAGAGATTTAAGCTAATTTAGGACGTACTTTATGAATAAAACGCTCGAGATCGGTTAAGTGAGATTTAGAAATGTGTATACAGAGTTATTATTAAAACGAAAGATTTATATAGTACGTATTATATATTACAAAGTAAAATTAAAAGCAGAAAAAAATGTATGGTCATTAAATTTTTATTTTCAATAACTTCTAAATAAGTAATGAGTAAATATTTGAGTGAATGATGTAATAATTAAAATGTTTTTTATTTAAATATCACTGTTCTGTTTCAAGAAAATTTTGTTTCTATATAAAAATAGAACGAAAAATAACACAAGGTCCATATAAACTCAATTTGATGAAATAAACAATTTTTCAAAACAATAATTTAAAAAAGGATGCTTTCAAATAAATAGTAAAAGACAGAAGAAACATTTCATAAATTTTTTATAAATACCTGACTTATTTATTTACTAAACAATACAAAAGATAGATTTTTCAGCTCGTATCAATCACATTAATGTACAATAAATACGCTTCCCTTATTGACAAATGATTAACATCAAAGTATATATCTCTTACATGTTTATTAATTAAATAAAGGAATAGTCAAAGATCCAAATGACTTGACTAAAATTCTGATCTTAATATAATCACTTAAATTATCATTCTACCGATTGATAAGTTTTTTTCTTTTTTTACTTAAACTTAGCTCAGTTTATCTTTTTATTCAATTTTTGTTCAGTTTAATCTTTCATAATAAATGTAACTCTTACACCCAGTTATTTTGAAGCATATAATCTAGCTAAATGCAATGTTGCCTCTGTATATAATCTACGATCGGGACTGCGTCCCGACAATTAGACGAGGAGGAAGGTGTAGCTCTTACCTATCTCCTGTGCCCTTCTATTTGCATGCATCCGAGATGAGTTATTGCGCATTGTTGGTCGATTCCCACTGTAGAAATTAGTGGATACATAAGGGCATAACAGCTAACGAGACAGAAACCGCAACATTTAAAGTCGTAAACAGATTTATCGAATTCCGGTTACAATTAGTCAGATCATCCTTCTTGTAATTAAAAATATTGCTCGAGACAAATAATTCTTTGATAATAATGAAAAAATATAAACATTTTAAAAACACATGCAACGAAGAATGAATTTTATATTAAAATATTGTTTAGTTTTCAGAGTTCTAAAATTCAATTATTTCACTATTACTTTGTTTAATAAAAGTTTATTGAAAATTTTTTTATTATATACAAGTGAATAATAATATTGCTGTTTACAGGATGTTTAATTCAAAGTAGCTTCTTTGAACAATTATATACTTATTTACACTACTGTTTAAAAATTTTTAATGTTTCTTGTTTGATCGAAAGAAAATATGGCAGTTTTATATTTGTCACATTGAAAGATTCATCTATAGGAAAAGATTATTTCTCAGACTGTTTTACAGTTCTTTATAATTTTATGTATCAATAAAAATACGAAGTATAATGCGCTATAACAAAATAATTTCAAAATCTAAAGCCTCGGAATGTACGGACTGCACAAAAACTTCATTAAAATATTACTGCTTATTAGAATGAGCAACAAAGAGAACGACATAACAGATAAAATTGTCCAGTAAACCCACTAAAGTCATGGAACAATGGAACGTATCATTTTCGTGCTTCTTCCTCCTTCATAAATCATAACCGTTAGGAGTGATACCAAACTCTTGAGTAATAGTGTACTTCTACAAAACTTCCGTAGAAAAGAAACTTTCCACTATCCATTTTTTAATATCTCTCTCCAGATTTCTGTTGCCATTCACATAATTGTCATTTTGCTTATTGCACAGTATGCACTTTATCGAGTTTTTGTTTTGATTATACTGTTCAGAAATTCATCGTTACTTTATGTGAGTAAGTAATTTCCAACTCTGTCACAGGTAGTTTTATGATCATTAGATAGAACGTATAGCTGCACAGGAAAATTACTTCGAAGAAGTGAAGTATAAATAACAGTATCGTGTATTGATTTTTGTGTAATAAAAGAATTCCTAGTAATTCTATAGAACACAGCACATCTTACCGATATTGTTGATCTTGAAATATCTCGTCATTGCCAATGTCACCAGTAATCCATGGATACGAACTACTTTGCTTTAATGTCACATCTATAGAGATGTAATATTAGCCTGTCAACCGATGAAGACAACTTAACTTATGATTCATATTGAAGGACTTTATCTTCCAGTAATTCTTCCTTTTCTTATTTATTTAATTAGAAATTCTTGCATATTATGAATATATCCTTACTGTAATATATTCGTATTAGTATAAATTATATTATTTCTCACTGCAAAACATAAACTGTATTAATTTTCTCTGGTTTGAATTATATTTTAAAGTAATATTTCAGACATGAATATATAAAATGAAAACATTTCTCAAGGCGAATAATCACCAAGATGTTAATACAAGATCAATTCAGATTCTGGTCTAAGTTTCGAAAAACATTTAAAAAGTACTATTTTGTATCTAGTCGACTTGAATTTATTCCACAAAGTTTAAATCTTACAGAAATTGTACCTTATAACTAATAACCTGGTTATCTGTGAGGCTTCAAAATTCACATAAATGACAAGTTAATTCGTCTTCCTAGATAACAGGTTAATAAAACGTTACTGTCCATCACGTACACTATTAGTCACATATGGAGTCAGTTGTGGTTTGAGGTCGACATTAACCAATTTCAAGCTTTCACCGTAACATACGCAAAATCACTCAGGACATTAACCTATTACAATCTGTTTCATTAAAATCACTGAGGCACGTTGTGTTCTAAACAATTACCGAATTTTAAAATACTAATTACAGCAATTAAAATCAAACCGAAAACTTCAACTTTTAGACGATCAGCATTTTTCCATCGAAACTTTGAACTTGTACGAAAAATGTGTAACCTGTAGGCACTTTTTATATCAATGTTTATCAGAGGCTAACATTTTTTGACCTAGTTTATGTAACTTTACAAAAAGTATATAAAGCTTTATATAAAAACAACAGAATTTTTAACTATATATATTCCACGTATTTTTCCTCGCATAAAAATATCTCCTTTTGTATAATTTTGGTTTACCTTGTTTGGGTTTAAAACTTAAGAATCAGTTATTTAATATGATGAATTTTCAGTATTTGCCTACCACCACAATGGCGATTTCGAGCTTTGATTCTGAAAACCAATAGCTGCAAATGAGTAATTTAATAATTTAAATGTCGAAAAATTGATACGCTGATTTTTCCTTTCTCAGTATTTAAGACTTTGGTATATAATGAAGGAATTTTCTACAAAACACCGTAAATATCAGAATTAGAAAATCTGCATTCCTTTATTATCCTACAGTATAAAATTAAACTCAATTTTCTTCTTCCTAAACAGTCATTATTAATAATAATAATAGTAAAAGATAACATTAGTATAACATAAGGATATAATATATTCAACATAACGATATTTTTGACAAACTTGCAATTCATCATTTACATTTTCTGCAAATTTCTTCCTCAATTGTCGATAATAAAGTTATTTTATTGTTCACAATTCTTTAGGAAAAGAGGATAATTCTACAGTTATTCTATGTCTACGTTTACTCGGAAGCATCAGAATTAACTCTTTATTTACGAGGATTTTTTATAATACTAAAGACCTTTTCTATAAGATGCTAATTTACATGCTGAACTCTTAGATATTAGAAAACACGTAACTATACATTTATCTTTGGTATTTAAATAATAAAATTGTTTACTCCTAATTTCTGATTTTAAATACCAAAGTTTTCTGCCACTATGACGACAATCATCCTCAAAGGATTAATAATAGAAGAATAATATTTAATTTAAACTTAGATGAATTAAGTAACATTTATATTTGTTAAATTCCATTTGAAATCTTCAAGAGTCTGACACAACATCATAGGGCAAGGGGTTAATGAAAAAATAAATGTACTCACTACTCGTTTAGCTCCCATCTTCATTTTCCCAACAACTACCCTGGAATCAGCGTCGAAAGTTGGATAAGTTTGAAAGTCGTATAAGGAAAGTAGCTGCGTACCATCAAGCTCGAGCGAGCTGTAGTCGCGTAGCGCTCATGCGTGCCGCGGGAACCTCGTTTCTTCGTGTTTACCGGGGAATCGGAGTAATTCTCGGTGCACTCTGGTCGTATGTAACTGGCGCTAACGAGGTTGTAACTACTTGTTGCAGTGACGCGCTGACGCGTACCGCTAGCATGAGCGCCGAGCTGCGTCTGCAGTGTTTGCGGAATTTGACCGATCTGTTGTCCCGCACGTTTAAGGAACAATTTGTGTTCCCGGCGCTCGGACACGAGGACCTGGGAGTGAGCTTCTCGCAACTCGCCGCGCTCTGGCAGCAATGGCTGCCGCAGGAAGCTCTGGACACGTTTCAAACCGGTGGGTAGACTGAACCGTTCTGATTGCGCCCGTCGCGGCTTTTAGGGCCACGGACGGGGAATTCCTCGACGCGGCGAGCGAGGACGTGTCTTGTAATGGTAAACACGGCCCCGGGAAAATACGAGGATCGGGTTAAATCGATAGTGCGGTGCCATGGAACACCGAAAATTTAGCCCCACGGCTTTCAGCGGAGCTAAACTACCCATTGATGTTGCCATTTTTCTTTGCTTTTTTTTGGTCCGCAGAGACTAACAAGGAAAATCGATCCTGGAAATTTAAAAAATTATGAAACTTTGTATGTAATAGAGTAAGTCAAGACTAATGCGTTGCAATTTTGTTCTGATTTTTTAAAAGAGGTGGTGGGGGTATTTTGTAAAATTGAATTTTTTCAAAAATTTTATTTTCCAATTTTATAGACTTAAAAGAACAATTTTCTATTGAAAATTATTTTCGGTATCTTTTACCGTTCTCAAAATAAAGGTTAACAAATTATAAGAGTATAATGGGAAAACATTTTCATTTAACAATAAATGAAATATCTTAACTTAATTTAACATGTCTCAACTCGCAAGGAAATGTATCAAATTTGGAAATTCAAAAAATTATGAAACTTTGTGTAAGTAGGGTAAGTCAAATCTAATATGTTGCAATTGTATTTTGGCCCGAATTTCACTTTGATGGAGTGAAACCACTGAGATTTGACAATTTTCATTTGATTTCTTCAATTTTTTCACAACAAAAAACACAAACATAAATTTTGAAATATGTGGAATCATTATCCTATTAGAAGATATATACACCGTATCAAAAGATTACGTTCATCTCTATAGTGTTTCACTATGTTACAAATTTTTTGTCGGCTGGACCAATATTTTCATGTTATTCAGCACACCGGAAAAACCTTTCTGTACAGTGTACACGTATTAAGGTTCAAAATAAACTATTCAATGGTTTCATGGATAAAAATAAAATTTTAATCTGTACCAAAGTTAACAATCATTATCAGAAATTTGATATTTATTTAACAATAACAATTAATAACAAGAGGCTGGATTATTTTAACCGATTTCTAAGAATTAAATTTTGTCATTTCAAGATACATACTATTTTATTTTAATAATGAACAAATTAAGGAAGCCTTTATTTGTCTTCATCAAATTAAAAGGATATTTCTTCGTTGAATTCACTAATTCGCAAAGCAGCTTTCGCTGAAGATTCAGCTTGGCACTTTCATACACACAACGCGGCATTATTCCCCAAATATTTTCCATAGGATTGCAATCTGCTGACAGAGCATGCTACTTGAATAATTCTATTCAGCGCTGATTAAACCACTTCCTCGTGGCGTTGATTCCGTGAATCGGTGCATCGGTGTCTTGCTGATGCACTACGAGAATTCGAGGAGAACGTCTTAGATGCGGCACCAGGTGATTTTCGAGGACTTGAATGTATTTGATGCTGTCCATTTGTGAAATACTCGAGACCAGCTCCGGAGTTCCCCGCGACAGGACGTATTTCACAATAAACGTGTGCCTTTGTCAAAGTTACTTTTTGATAAAAAGCGTAACTCTTTCGAATCCAGCAGAGATTAAAAGCGTCTGACCCGTGAAGATTAAACCTATGCAATCGGGAGCTTTTTCGCTATACTCCAGGTGTCCAAATTTATTCTGTAAATTTAATTATTTCCAGAATTATTCGCTATATAAACAATATCTCAAATATCTTTTTATGATATTAAGTTTTTATTTTATTTTACTGAAACAAAGGTTTGGTGAGTGTTCAACGTAGTTAATACCTTTTTGTACAAAATACATGACTGTACTTGAAAAAATGGTTACTTTTATATCTTTTACGCACGTTCACTTAGATACAAACTAAATATACGAAATTACTATCAAAACAAAAAAAATTGTTTTCCAGACATTTTGTAAAAACAAATAGTAGATAATTGTATTTATGGAATAATTTTTAAATCTGCACGTGCGGTTTCACGGACTTTTACATAAAATATCGTGAATTTTGAAACCAGTGAAATTTTCGTTATATAGTTGATACTATTCCTATGTAGAAATATTTAGATAAGTACAAACAAATAAATACCGTACATTTCTTATTAGTTATTACAAAAAAGAATATTTAACATTAATCGGCAATTGTCGGACTTTCATACTTCCTGAAAAATATATCCTGAATATTCATTTTTTCTTAATGAGACATTGATCACATTTTTTATAACTGGCATAAAGTGAAATCTTACACGAATTAAGATATAGGACTATTTTACTGAAAGTATCATTGCATTATATGAAATGTTACCTTAAATATCGAATTTTTAAATTTTGTCACGTCCAATCAAGTGATGACGTGACTCATCTCTCGAGTGCAAAGGGTTAATTTATATTTTGTGACTACAAATGATAAAAAATCATACACACATGTTTCTGCTTCGCGTGAATAAGAGAAAGTTTGCGTAAAGTTGTACTTAGGATGAAATTTTACTTCGTTCCACTTGCGGTTCGTATTATCGTGGGTAAATGCAAGTCTGCGAAGCTTGTCCTCCTTTCTGAGATTCGGCGAGGACTTCAATTTGACTTTCTGAAGATATGACGACTCCTTAATGGCTCTCAGAATGGTGCGTTCTGAAACTTCTAGCCAACATTCTCCTTTGATTTGGTTCGCTGACTTCATCGAATTCGGTGCTTTATGAACTATATCTCACGCTTATCCATCACTGGAATTTCGTAAAGCCTTACGAATCTCTCCCTTTTGTTTTGGGACTTGAAATGTTTCATGTAATTTAGAACTACGTTATGAGTTTGTGAAATATTAGGTTGTAACGTAAACAAGCTGTACTAGAAGTACAAACGTGTTCTATTTTTAGAATATATTTATTTAGAATTTAAGGTTAATTCATTGCATATGTACAGAAATGCCTATAACTGTGATTAGGAAGGAACCACTTGTAGTCGATATAAAACCAACAATATTACCTTATTGCTTCTTTAAATTAATAATTAAACAGAGATTGGAATTGAACAAAAATTTACTTCCTTTCCCAATGATTCTAATTTCTAGTAATGATTTTTAGTGAAAACAAGATTAAATTGCATGGTACGTAATATTTTATTGTATTTCTCATATTCTTATTCAATATAAATGGATACAAATCCGTAATCTATTAAAACTTAACAGTCAATTACTCCACAATGCACAAACGTAACAAATTTTGTTTTCATTTTCATTTATTGCATTCGCTGTAGTTTGATAAATGATGTCTATTTTATTGTATTAAAAACTTTATCAATGCTTTCTGAATATATAGTCAATATTATGTTGGTTTATGGCTGAGCCCATATTGACTAAAAAATGATCCATTGTTAAAGGTTAATAATAAAGGGAAATATTGATTGGAACCGAACTTGTTTATGTTACAACCTGGCAGCAACTTTGCAGTAAACTGTGGATCTGGGATCAAAAGTAAACTTTTGGTACTGTTTATACACTGCTTTTATTTATAAAAAATTGAGTGGCCGAGTTTGAACTTTAAAATGTGTATAGGCATTTTGTGGGATGCTGAATAACATGAAAACATTGACTTGGTATATTTTTTTGCTGATAAAATGGTATACAATATTAATATAATCTATAATACCTTTATCTAACCGTCATCATGTTTTAAAGTTTAATTAATTATTTTATTCATTGAGACAGTCTGATCATTCACAATATACACTATTTCCCTTGTAATTCATTAATTTAAATTGTGACTCATTTAACTCTTGAATGATGATTGGTTACTCATGAACAACTTAATATACAGCAAACATATTCTTCCTGATTTTTGAGGTTAATAATCATCAAGATCTAAGATTCTTTGATTTGTTGAAGTTGATATTGAAGAATATTCTTGTATTTAGTGAATATCAGTAATTATTTAAATATCAGTATATGACAAATTGTGTTGTTTGGGAACAGATAAAAAGTTATATATCACAATAAAATTATTAATTATATCGCATCTTTTTTAATTCATCATACTCTCAATACTTCAATACTAATTTCTTATCTTCTCTTACGTAAAATTTTACAATTCTGTATAATTCAAATAATTTTAATATAATACCAAAATTTAAGTATCTATAGGATGAAACAAAGCTTCTAACTACATAGTTGAAAAGCAAAATTACAATTGCAAGCACACAAAATAAAATCTTATAATTCCAAGTATATAACGACAGTTGACCGACGCGATTTATCCCGTAATGGTTTGCGCCAAGAAATTGATATCTGCAAAAACTTTCATAACAATGGCGCGAATCCGGAATTTTAAATTTATTCGCTGGATAGCCGCGTTCTTTCTCCGTCGCTCTAATAAAAAGTTAATAACACCGAGCAGCAACGTTAAGGGTGGAAAATTACGAAAGAAGAGGCGGGAACTCGAACATAAGCTCCTGGCAACTCACTCGACGATTTCAAACACTTGTTACAGCGGGATATTACACGATAGAGCAGCGCTCGGAAAAGTATCGAATCATCTTTCTCAACACAAATTTGTGGCTGCACATAGCCGACAACCATCGCACGGCAGCCAGCACGATCGATAACACGGAAGATCCTTTCGGTCAATGGTCCTGGTTTCAGTCGACTCTCGACACTGCGCGGAGGAAGAAGGAAACGGTAAGCACTATTTTCACTTAAACCGTTCAGTGAACAAATCGATTCACTCCATTAAAAAAATTTTCTTACATTTTATTATTAAGCGTTTGTTTGACTTTCAATTCTGTATATTTAAAATAAATATTTATATATTTAAATAAATAATAGATTTAAATATATTACAATATATTTAATCTATTTAAAACAAATGTCCTTATTGTTGGATTTGATACCACGAAATAATAAAACTTCTTTTAAACATACAAGTAGTGCAATAGTAATATAAATCACTTCAAGGATATGCTATTTTATACACTTATTATGTTCGTTAGATTAATACTACATCTGTAATAAGAGGGTAAAGTATATTATATAATGTTTATTTGATTTTCCAGGTAAAAGGGAAATTTTTAAAAGCAATGCTTATTATTGCCTCATTTTTTTCTATTGTTTGTTTTGTAGTGGCTCATTTTTCTCTTTATTTTAGGTTCAATGATCTGTAATATGAACTCTTTGCATTCGAAAATTTGACACTATACAGACAACATTCTTTTGCTCTAATTTAGAGAGAAATTGTATATAAATAAAGAAACAAAGTTATTTTATTTCAATATTTCACATATTGATACATTATATAAGTTTAACTCTTTGTTTTGCAATTTCCTTTCCAACTAAAACTACGTTGTCTTTAATAATTAGCTAAAAGAACAATAGTTTCTATGTTCGTAGTACATCTATTTTAACTATTACATATTCATAAAATGGTAATAGAATATCATTTTAACTGGAAAAAAACGGATAAGATTAATATTTACTAAATACAATGTGAAATGTTACAAATGAATATACGAAACACCAATGAATATATAAAACGAAATAATCATTTCACTATAACAAGCTATATTTAAACTTTTGCACTTGAAAGGCAATCTTCAGTCGCCAATGCAGCAAAATTACGTGATATTTGATATTAAATTTTGTAATAATAAAAGAAATATTGATATAAAATATCGAAAGCATTACTGAAATTAGTCCCTTATTTTATGTACAATTTCTATTAATATTAGTCTTAAAAAGTGTCATTGATATTTCATCAGGAAAGCTTCGTATTGCTGCTTACCTGTGGCAAAAAAGCTTTCGAGTACAAAGAGTTAAATCTTTCAAAGTATGCAAATTTATGGCTTCATTATCTTTACTCCACAAATTGTTAAAAATGTTTAAGCGGTTGGAAACTTTCCAACACCGGTGTGCACTTGTTTGAATAATTACGAGAACAAGAGAATTTTAAGAAGACTTTAATTAATGCTTTAGTAAACCAGAAAACTAATCATTCAGTTGCCGACGTTTATACCTTTATTGCAGACCAATAAAAATGCTTAGACAACAAATGGAAGGGAAAAATTCGTTGAAAACTTTTTATTAACATAAATTTGATGGTATAATTGCGAACTAAAGTAATAGATAAATGATTAAACCTACAATTTAAATAAGCATTTCATCGAATAAGTAGTTTCAATGTGAAAATAAATATTCTAAACATATTATGCGTGCTTGCTATAAATTATTGACCGATTAATTTATAATCTACATATATAAACAAAATAATATTTCTCTGTTTTCATTTCAATTCCATGAAACTTTCAAAAATAACAACAAATTATCATAAATCTATACTAGTATCAGTTTTGAAAATAACTTAATATACAAATATACGTATTCACATTTTGAAATAAATATCTTGCACTAAACTATTCTAAACTATTATTTGACTAACAAGAATTCCTATCTGTGAAGGAATTAAAACTTTCTTCACTTTATTCTAAATATTTTATTTACACAAAGAAAGTAAACTAATACTTTCTTCAACAAACGTAACTTTGATTTTAACAAAATATAATTTAAATTTTTATTTCAAATATGATTCACAGCCCTTTGGTAAATATTCAGCTATTCGTCTATTTAAAATTAGAAGAGTTTCGCAAGTACATTTAAATTTTTTCAAAAACTAAATATATTTACTTTCCAATTTATTTCTCGACCGTTTAAAAATATTATATTATATTTAAATTCCAAATTCTCGAAACACTAACTAGTCTTATCAAACCCTTTCACTCCAAAGGAATCCAAAAAGTATGCTCACTTCCGTATAGTTAAAATGGTTGTGTTCCCTTGACGTTTCAAAACAAACTTCCTTCACCGAAAATTCAATCCAACCCAGCGTCGTCCGCAAAACCAAAGGGGTAACCAAATATTCCCCACGAAACGTTCTTTCGAGGCCACGAATGTCGCAGTAATCGCCGGCAGCTTAACGACGACCGTAAACTTTTAATTGTCGTATTTTCGGAGCGGTCTTGTGAATCCGGTATCCCTGGGTATCTAAGTAGAAAGAAAAATTTTTCACCAGCACTGATACCACGTAATTGTTACTCATCCCCTGTTCTATCGTCGAATATCCTAGCGGGAAGAAAATGTATTCTTAACCCCTTCTGGTAAGACTTAATCGTAAAAAATTTTTCATGAAAGAGCCATTTAATTTTTATTTCAAAAAGACATGTTTCATTTTATTTACCTTGTATATCTAACGGTAAACAATATGTGATAATGATTTGTGATATTTACACAAATAATACAAGGAAATACAATATTATCAGGTTCAATGAACTAGAAATTTTAAACCAAATTATATAACATTCAATAGTGTCTTTAGTTGCATAGCGAGTACAGCTCGTCAATGTGCAGTATGGCATGAAAACCCAATGACGACCTGCACTCGTCATTTTATCGGAAGTTAACTCTTTGCAGTCGACAGTTTTTCACTAGAAATGTTCAACATTTTCCGATGAGATATAGACGACATTTTTTGAAACTAAGTAATGAGAAAACATACATAAATTTGTAAAAAAGCTATTTTGTTTCAATGTTTCATATATTGATGCATTATACAAAATTTCATGTTATATATAAAATTTTATAATTTTGTTATATCAAATTAAGTGGCGAGTGAGAGTCACTCCTCGAGTGTAAAGGATTAATATTGTCTATTGAATCGAATATGCAATAAAAGCGTGAAATTGAATTTTGTTAATATGGGTGATCTTAATTTTTGAACTATCGAAGTCGAATTGGCTGCTCTGTTCTTTTATGCTTATAAAAAATTATACTTTTTTAGTTAGGGAGTTTAGTAAAATTTCTGTTTACTTATATTTTAGTTTTTCTATTATTGAATTTATTTGTTTGAAAAACTATGGTTATGAACAAGCTGTACCTTTACAATAATTGTGGAGAGAAAAATAAAAATGTGTAATTTATGATTTTACTGTTATTTGATTTTTAACGGAAAAATGTTTTATTTGAAACAATAGTTGGTTTCTGACAAGATATTTTAAACCAAAGTCTTTATCCGTGTCGTGAATTGTAGAAGTTAGCGATAACTAAGCTAGAATTTCTTTATTTTTTATCGTCGAATATCCTAGCGGGAAGCAAAAATATTCTTAACTCTTTGCCTTATAATTGTTAGGAAAGTATACGAATCGACATATACATCGACGTATTTAATATACTATATTTTTGTTGTTGTTCTTGTAAGGATTTTGTTGTGTTATATCTATATTTTTCATGTTTGTGGTATCTTGTGGTTTGTGTATTTAATAAAACTGTTATTATCTATTAAAAGCCGAACAATAGCATGGCGTCAGACTCGTAGTGGAGATTACAAATGGAATTTAACAAACATAAATATTATTCAATATATTTGAATGCAAACTACATATTACTTTTCTGTTATCAATGATTATACTTTAAAGCACACGTTAACATAAAATAAACCTAGAATTTCCTTTTATTTTCAATAAATTACGAATAACAAATTATTTACATTACGAATCTCCTCAAGCAATTCGAAAGCGTCGGTCATAGGTGACTGACACGGCGCCTAACGAATAATAAACAAACAATAATATGCAATTCGGAACTTCTTACCCGCCTTTCATTCCCAGCCCACCCTACTGCACGTCAGCAATCCTATCTTCACATATTTACCCGATCACACCACGATTCACATTCATAAATTCAAAATTCCCGACACCCCGTATAAGGTAACAGTTGGAGTGAAGAGCGAAACGATATTATTTGCATCTTCCTGCTCGAATTTCCCCTTTGTTGAGCCGTACCCAAGCGTTCCGCTGGTCTCCGGTGCAAAGGAGCTCCACTCTGCGATACGTCGTGTTCGGCTGATAAAGGGTGCGAACTGTTTCTAAGGCGGAAGCGTAACTGAGCCGTTAAGTATATTTAACTTGGCAGAAAGCGACTCTCCTGGCCACGCTCTATCTCTCTCTTTCACCCTCTCTTTGCGCACCAACGGTGGCTCAATAATTAAAAGGATCAAGGGGCCTGTACACGGAAGCTCTTCCGCTCTGGATATGTACCTGGATATGTACCCCGTAAAACGAGGCCGCGATATCCGAGTCAACGGATAGAGGGAATCCCGGCGACCAATGTTGCGAGTCGAGGCGCGGCAGGCTCGCAGATCACTTTATCGGCGAAACGTCAATTCCCGGGGATAAAAATCCTTTGGGCGCCGGCTCGTTTCCTCCATTTTGGTCTCTGTCGCGATAAATTATTTACTCGGCACGCAGTTATCGGGTTGACAGGCTATCAGTCAATAACAGAAGTTCCGGCTCCCGGAACTTTACACTCTCCGATCGACCGTCGAATCCAGCTTTCCTGCGCGACGGACGCGCCGGGAAGAAGTATTAATATTCGATATTGTTTGACGGCTCGGTAATCGCTGTCTGCACCGATTCAACGATCGATATGTTGCTTTTTCAGCTTTCTTACCTCTTCGATGCTTTGGATATATGATTTTTTTACTACTGAGTTCGTTTCTATTGTGATATGTATTTTGATGTTTGTTTGAGGTGAATTTGGGTGTTTTGGAATATTGGAGGGAAGGTTCAATGAATTGTATTGGACTATTGAATTAAATATATAATAAAAGAATTAGATTGAATTTTGTGAATGTG